AGAGAGCGGATAATTGCGCCGGCGAAAGCGTAGTCAATATGTGCAATTGGCACGCTTTTGTGTGTACAAACCACGGGTCCGCCGGTTTGGGGCGTTTCCAGGGGTTGCTTGGTGTTGGAGCTCAATATCCAGACGACATGAAAAGGTGAAGTCAACTGCGTCGTGCAGATGAAACGAAACGGCTACAATTCACCGCCGGGTCCCAGAAGCTGCCGACCCACTGAAGCGTCGCCAACCGAGCCCTACCACCTGTTTCGAAATCGATCTCGAGCGCGTGACACTGGTCTGAGCAGAGAGAGATTGAGCTCTGCCCACTGCCCAGCCATGTGCTCCTGTCTATTGTGACCAATGTACACTCCAACTATTTACAACCGTCCTAGAATTCGTTGGTCACAATCACCCCATGACCCAAAACTTCAAGTCGCGGCAGCTTCATCGATTTCGTGGCTGAGAATTGAACACACACACTGTCTGTTTGCTGCGAAGCTCAGTTTTCTTTTTGTTTTGTTGACACGCTGAAGCTGACACTTGGTGGCTCCTCCCCAGATGGAAAGACTGCAATGAAAATGTGAGAAAAGATGGGCCTGGACCAAGCGTTTGAGCGCATCGAATGTAAAAAAAATGGCGGATATCGTGATGGGATCGCGGAAAGGAGTTACACAAACTGACCACCAAGTATATATGCAGCCCCACGTCAGATGCTGATCTACGAGTACGCCAATGGTTGTAGCGGTTGTATTGGGATATATGTTTTGGGGCCCGATATTGTAATGTTCAAATATTCTATCTTTTTGAGCGACTGCTTGGTTTCAATGAGAGCTATAAATGTTTCGTTTGGCTTCATCTTGGGACTATTAATCCGGAACCATACTGGGATCACAGGTTGATTCCTCGACCCCGCTGCTCAGTTCAGGGAGACCGGTGAGTGTTGGTTGGAAATGATCGAGAACTTGGGTGTCGGTAGTGTAGGACAAAAATCAGCCATGGGTGAGCCAACAGGGTAGGTCGTTGATGAAGAGTAGGGGGAGCATTGGCCGAGAATGGCTCCTCCGGGCTACTCCGTGGGTCAGTGGGAGCGTACCAGAGCAGGCGCCGGCCACTGTCAGCTTACAATCACTGAGATAGCTCCAGAACCATCCCGGCTGCACGCCATCACACTCCAGTTCGTCCGGGAGGACGCCGTGGTCGACGCTGTCCAAAGCTTTCAAGGACTTTGGAAGTCCGCTGAATCCATCGGAGCGAGCTCTCCAAGACACACAAGATGCCAAGCTGCTGCTGTTCTAAAATAATGTTCATCTCGTCAAGTCGGGGAGTAAGTGACCTGGTATCTACGAGGTCGAAGCTGGAGCTGAGACGGCAGCGCTGGGGAGACGCCAGCGGCCGCGGGCCTGAGTCGCCGGTGCTGCCGCAGGCTCCTCCGGGGTCACGTCACCAGCGGCCGCCTCCATGTCGCCGGTGCTGCCGCAAGCTCCTCCGGGGTCACGTCACCAGCAGCCTCCTCCATGTCGCCGGTGCTGCCGCAGGCTCCTCCCGGGTCACGTCACCAGCGGCCGCCTCCATGTCGCCAGTGCTGCCGCAGGCTCCTCCGGGGTCACATCACCAGCAGCCTCTTCCATGTCGCCGCGGTGCCAGCGCCGGCCCGGTGACGAGTCACGCAGGAACCACGCCGAGCGGTCGCCCCGCTGACGGCGCCCGGGAATAGCCCCGCTGACGACGCCCGGGAATAGCCCCGCTGACGACGCCCGGGAACAGCCTCGCTGACGACGCCTGGGAGCAGCCCCGCTGACGGTGCGCGGGAACGGCCCCGCTGACGGTGCGCGGGAACAGCCCCGCTAATGACACCTGGGAACAGCTCCGCTGATGACGCTCGGGAACGACCCCGCTGACGACGCCCGGGAACGTTGCTGCTGCCTCGACGGACTCGGCTGTCAGCCTCCGATCCGCAGCTGCCGCTCCGGTGACGATAGTCGGGATGTGTCACCAGCAACTGCCTCTTCCGGAGGTCACCAGTGCACGAAGTGCCACTTTCTCAAACGGGAGTGGCCTAAGGACGGACTCGCCACCTCGACAGATGGCACCATCGCCTTTGCTCAGCAGTCTGCTAATCCCTCACAGAGCCCACAGAATGATGTTCATAGTTTGAAAAAGTTGCGGGGGGGGGGGTTGACTCGAACCAGGATCTCTCGCCTACAAGTCGACCGCGCTGCCCGTGCACCAGGGGACGTGGCGCACTTTGCGTCGCGGAGGCCGACGGAGACTTGGCGATGCCGCTGAGACCGATAGCGGATCTATGATGGCGCCTGGCTGTTCCGGAGCCCGACAGCGAGTCTGTGATGGCGGCTGGCTGCTCCGGAGCCCGACAGCGGGTCTGCGATGACGTCTGGCTTGACGCGTGTAGGCGAGCGAGACAAAGGACCACACAATTTGGTAAGAACTCACTGATTTCTTGCTCCTTCGGTGAGCCGGTCACACAGCAGGTGGTTACTGTTCTTAAATAAGAACTGATGCTACAACTGATGCTACTTATGGGGAGAGAGAACACTATGAGCTAACGTGAACACTTCACAACCGAGAGGGGAGGCAGCGTCCAGCGCGCCGCACGCCGCAAGAGACAATTCAGTGAAAATGGACGGACAATTGTGGATCTAAGCAATACTACTGGTGGGTACATTTTAAGATTTGATCAAAACTTTTTAATTGGACGATTTTCTGGGATCAGAGCTCACGCTAAGTCGTGCTCGTTGGGTAAAAAGTTACTCCTATCAGGGGTCACAAATTCTAGGGCAGTGACATAATTTGGTGGTGGGCGTTTATATGTCGCACTGCTCGGCACAATACGCCCTGTCCTTCGCCGTCACCTGACCTTTACGTGGCCGCTGCCATCCTCCGTGAGCCATGCCTGCCAAGGTCAAATAGCAAGCGCCTAAAGCGTCTCGAGCCCACCCCGTCATGGATGCATGGATCAGCAGGTACGCGCTCTAACCATCTGACCTTCACCAAAATATCCTTTTGCCCCAGACAAATTAAGCAATTATTTTCATTAACGTCATTTCAATGACGCCTTGTCACACAACATGCAGCGAAAGAATGCGCAGCTATGCCATCAAATGAGCATAGCACACATCCATATATGTGGTCGCCTCTCCAATCCACGCATGAAAGGCGCACTAGCCTTCTGGCCTTCGTGTCGGCTCTCGTCAAGAGCCGTCTGGGAGACCCAGTCACACCACACTGGGACTGCACTGGAGGGGGTGGGCAGCTGTCCATCCTCCCGCAGGACAATTCAGCCGATTTCAACCTTGTCCGCAGAGCAAACACGCGGATGCGGCGAAGTTTTCAGCAAGTTCACCGGGGCAACACACGAGCAAGGCTAAAGCCCTCAAAGGGTTTGGCGTGAGCGATGTGGAGAGCGAAGCAGGCCACAAAGTGAACCCAGCACAGCGGACCGTACTCCGTCCTGTATTTGCGGGGTACGCAGGACCCTGAGGAGGCCCGTGTTTCGCTCCAGTCGCGGCAGTCTTGACTGCTGATTAAGGCAGATACCTGCCAGGCCTTCGTGTGCTCCGCATCCGCTGTTTTTGTGAACTGGCGTTGTTTGAATCGGTGATGTTTTTTGTGAATTTACGCACCAGTGCCATATTAGTGGATCCCTGCATTTGGAACTTTCTTGAAATGTGGACCGCCTTGATCGAACACATTGGTATCGCTTCACAAAGGTCTGACTCTATCAAGGCCTGGTTCAAAGGCCTGGTTCAAAGGTCTGGTTCAACGGTCTGGTTCAATACCACAGCCTGACTTGTAGCCAGGCACTTCGGTGAAGGGCTTTCACCTCTGCTTTTTTTGGTATCATCTGCATGATAAACATCTCACAGCTTCACCGCCTGACCGTGCCTCGCTCCTCCCTCGCCGAGCTTGGTGTCTTGCAAACGTTTGACATGGTTAGGAGCATTCAACACCGAATAGTTGATCGACACATTGAACACGGTTAAAACGAGAACAGAGGCATCTTAATCAAAACTTTCTACTCTGTGACTGCTGTCATGTTGTTGGTCTCCGACCGAGGTGACGCCGGCCGGGCTGGTGTTGCCACGCCCAGCTGGCTTCGACCAGCCACGTCCGGCCCGAGGCACACACGAAGGACGGACGCTCAGCCTACCGTATCACATGTATTGCGACTGGCCCCGCGCCGACGCTGTCAGCCGAAGGACGATCGTCTCACACCCTCTGAGAAGGGCAAACGGGAAACATCCGAGACGAACAAGCGTCAGCCAATCAGACACCGAGACGAATCAGCGTCAGCCAATCAGACACCCGTGAGATTCGGAGGGCGAGTACCTCTCACCTGTACACGAGATCTCTCGGCAGTAGCATCACATAACTCGCACTAGGGTGAGGCGCGAGTTTCTATCACTGTTCTGTAACAATACGGCGCGAACGCGCGTGTCATCAGATGATCATAGTCTCTACAATGCGTTGAGATATACGCACACACAAATAAATACATACATGAAATACAAAAGGGGCGAAATAACACGTAGGGATGAGCCAGTCAGCTCACCGTCTGTCCATTGGAGTGCAAACCAGCCGGCCTGCATCCAAAAGGACAGCACCGCATGCTTAGGTCGGCGAAGAGTGAAGTGCCACACCATGCGGGGACCAGTCTGTGTCCAGTAAATTATACGCCGCTGATTGCAACAGGCTGTGCTGATGCCAGCACTATGATGTGGCAGAAGGGTCGATCAGACCTTTGCGTGCCCGCTCGTCGTTGTCCACGTCGTCGTCCAGTTTGTTCGGCACGGATCGATAACTGACCCCATCGGGCAGCCGTGTACCTCACCGAGCCGAGGCTCCGCAGCAGTCGGTATGGCCCGCCTCCCCCTCCCCCCCGCCCCTTCCTACCGCCTCCACCGCGGCTCACCGCGCAGGCCCGGCCACAGCCTGATCCGGGGCGCTCGACCACCGGCCCTGGCCGCGCCCCGCCCCGCAGCGGTCCGCACCGTCTACTGTGCGCCGCCGTCCGGCCGCGGCGCGTGGCCCGGTGGCGCCACACTGCCGGGGTCCGACGTGCGCGAGCACTCGAGCACGGGGCTGAGCGCCGGCTGCTCGACCGCCGCCGCCGGCAGGTGGCTCTCGACCGCCGAGTCCTGCGACGACTTGCGACCACCGCGGATGGACGACATCTCGAGCAGCGTGTTGGCGCTGCGCGGCTGCGTCAGCCCGCTGCGCGAGCCGTCCGACAGCTGCGGCAGCAGGTGGCGCGAGCGCGTGGCGCGACCGCCGCTGCCGCGTGACACCGGTGGCCGACACAGCGAACGGCGCCCCAGTAGCCGCAGCAGCTCCTGCCGGAACTGCTTGGTGAAGATGGCGTACAGGTAAGGATTGGCGCACGCGTTCAGCGGGTAGAAAAAGACCAGCAGGATCTTGGAGTTGGTGACGCTGATGAGTGGCACGCCCATGATGGCCGTGACGCCGAAGAACGCGATCGGCGCCCAGCACGCGAAGTCAGTGAAGACGAGCAGCGCCATCCGCTTCGCCACCTGGAAAAGCGGCGAAGTGCGAGCAGCTCTCGAAGCGTTGGAGGAGCATTCCACCGGTGACCCCCACAAACCACTCCCTTCGATCATTGTTATCGCAGTCCACCGTTTACTGCAGGTCCGTGCTGTGTCTTGGGACTCAACGTTTCGTTCAACACCTTAGGTCATGTAGCGTCGAAATATCGCATGATGGCATCCGCGACGAGGGAGGAGAGGGAGGGGGAGGAGAGAGCACAGACCCAATGTATCGAATGACTCTTGGGCACACGGTACAATGTCAGTCCCTATTTAGGCAGATACGTGATTTGAATGACTTATGAAGATGCGCAGCTGGAAACGGCATGTATGCGGCATGAGGTAGCATTAAACAAGAGCATCACCAAAACTGCCAGCCACTGCGTTCACCCAGCCGACCACGTGACCAACCTTCAGGTCGTTAGGCCGCACCAGGCCCCTCTCCACGTGTGAAATGCTGCAGTACATCCTCAGGTAGAACCAGGAGATGAGCAGGAAGGCCGCCCCGTTGCCGAGCAGCAGCAGCAGCAGGAATGCGATGCCGGCCCTGTCCGTCGCGTCCCGCGCCATCGGCAGGCATATGCTGCGGAGCAGACGGTCGCGAGGCAGCCAGTCACCTCAGGTACATCCTCAGACAGCCGTTGAAGCCGTACAGGTATCTAAAACGAGTCGGCTATGGTGGATGGCTCTGTCACATTGACGCATTGCAATGTGTGTTTTGAACGGTGTCCGCAGTGGCTTCCCCACAGCAGACTGTCCCATCGGCCCTCTTTCAAGCCCGTCGAGGCCAGTTCTCCCGGGCAATCTCTCATGGTCGTTTCTCGGGACACCCTCCCAATCCTGACGAGATTATCATCAGGGGAGAAATGGCCGGTTGCTTAGCGACTTCGGTTTCCACGTGGGGGCCCCAAGTTCAAATCTAGGTTGTGCCAAGGTTCCTGGGGGCTTATACGATCCTGCAATTGCTGGTGCTCCATACAAGTGTGCGCAGCGATGTACGTCGGTTCCACTTGAAAACTATCAGGGACGTAGCCTCAAGCCATCTCTTTGGGTCTCCTTCTCGTGGCTGCCACGACGCAGTCCCAATATTGTCTCCCTGGGCTATCCTTTAAGACCTTTCGAAATGACTCCGGACAGTCTCTCCGGGCGGTCCTCTAACACTCCTTTGAATACAGCCTTATGCACGTCTCCCCGGTGCGTCTTCTCGGAACCACCTGGCAGGCACGCCGACATCAGCCTCCTTGGGTCGTCTTCTTGGGTAATCATCTCAAACCTGTGAAGGCCTTATTCATTACGTCTCCCCAGGTCTTGCCGATGACATAGCTTCTCGGGTCCTTGGGGATTCCGCATTTCCCTGTGCAACATCTCTCACCCACGCAAAGCGAAATTGCGCGAGCACCTAACTTGAATCACGTTAAAAAACGCAAGCAACCTTGGTGAAAGTACTAAACTTAAAGGAAAACCACCAAATCGAAAGTACGAAAACCAAATGAACGGTACGAAACCAATCAAACACAGGCGGATTCCATTAATTCCCATCGATTCGTGCCTCTCATTCTAAGCTTCCAGACCCTTAACAGATGCACCCGCACGCAATTACTGCATACGTAAATGGTTTAAAATCCAAGGTTAATTTCCTTGCCCAACCCACGATCCGTGCGGTCTTAGCCATAACCACCCTCTTCCAATCGCCCAGCAATGCTGCGCACGAGTTAATCGCTCTTTTTAGAGTTGCCAACATTTTCGCTGCAAGTTGTAAAAATAAAGCTGACAAAGTTTCGCTGCTGCGATTGCCGCTTTTGGTTTGAACAACCAACAACAAATATCACGTGAGATTATGTTATTGCAAGGAACAACAAAAGAGAAAATGGCACTGTTTCGCGAAACCTCTTGCAATGACCGCATACCAACCCGTCATCTTCTCCAACGCGGCCCATTGTCCGTTCCATGGGTTACCAACGCGCTCACGCAGCCGCAAGGACATAAATGGTGCGATTGAAACCCAGTGGGGTTTGCTACACGCCTTCCATTGCTCTTGCTCAGGGCTAGCTGGAAATGGTTTACGGCGTGTCGCCTGGAGCTGTCGTTACCAACGCCCCCTATCGGCCGCCACAGCTTTCTACCAGCGTATTGTATAACAACGTAAACATTTTGTTTTGCTTTACTCGTGGCAGCGGCCACCACGCTGAGTCATCTTGATCCTTCGCGAAATTGGTCGATCATCTGCCACATTCTCAGCCTTCGTTTCAGTCCCATCAGCTCTGTCCACATCACCGAGCTCTTTCTTTTGTTTTTGTGTGCTGGCGCTCGATTTAGCCAATAACTTTGCTATATCTCCTGTCCTTCTGTTTTTCGCCTTTTCACGCTCCTCTCCTTTTCTCCAGCGTTCTTATTTGCTTGTGTTGTTACCATATTACCCCACGCATGACGTCATTACGTCACCAGACCTCCCTTCCCGCGGGAGCCAACGAGGCTTATTTCCGCCTATCCCGCTTACAATCAAGGCGCCTGGCCCGGGGGCTCATTAGCCAGATACCAGTCATTCTCCGCCTCCGGCCAGTCGGTTCCCAAGCCGGGTCACACAGTGTGGTCGGCATAACCAGCTCCGAGGCGTCGGAATGCAGGTCCATACGACTGCAGTGTTTTTGGGTACAATGTGGAGACAATTTTAAGCGATGAATTTGTGACAGCTCAGCATCACGGATAGGAGTATGCACATAAAACAAAACGTAGTTCCACTCTTCATTTATCGTTTTGTTGTAAGATGTCCTCGCGTTGTGTTTTACGTTATAATTTACTTAAGCGCTTAATGAATTAACTCGTTATGTATTAAAACACGACAAATTCTTGTCTTCATCTCTCCAAGACTGCTTTATTTCCTTCTTTAAAAAATACACCGTCGCGCGGGCGGCCCCCGTGCACAACAGATCCTCCTTAACACTCCCCCGACCCTGAATGACCCCTCTCGTCATTTGGAACATCACTTTTACATCCCCCGTGAGAACATCACTGCTCCATTTCCAAGCGGATGATTTTGGTGACTGGCCTCTTGAATAGTCCCTTTGACGTCTTCACATCAACCACTCTGACCACGCAATCTGGTCCTGGATACGTCTTCTCGACTCGCGCCATCGGCCAGGTTCCTCGCGGCACATTGGGATCAATAAGCAGAACCACTTCTCCTTCGCGCAGTTTCCTCCTGACTTCAGTCCATTTCTATCGCGCTTGCAGAGTCGGCAGGTATTCACGTACCCAGCGACGCCAGAACTCTGTGCTAAGCTGCTGCAACCGTCTCCAGCACTGTTGGAGGCTGCAACTATCTGTGCTCGTCAAAGGTGTCATCTCAACTCTTGATCGGCCCGTGATGAATTCTCCCGGTGTCAGCGGCGGCAGGTCGCTTGGATCAGACGAGACAGCTGTCAATGGGCGGGTGTTGAGCAGTCCTTCAGCTCTGCAGAGCGCTGTGCTCAGCTCCCCATCGGCGAGATTTGCTCGTTCCAAAGTCTTCACCAGCGCCTTCTTGGCCACCTTGACCAACGCTGCACACACTCCATTGAAATGGGGTGCGCCAGGAAGATTGAAGACCCACTTCGTGGGGTATTTCGAGAGCTCCCTTTGAATCGTATCGATGTTGAACCCATGAACTTCTCTCTTCAGTTCCTTAGCGGCCCTCAAAAAGTTTCACCCGTCGTCGGATCTGATCTCGGCTGGTCGACCTCGGCGCGAGATGAACCGCATTAGAGCGCGTATGAAGCTGGCGGTGTCCAGTGAGTAGGCCATCTCCAGATGCACAGCCTTGGTTTGCAGGCAGACAAAAATGCAAAGGTAGCGCTTTTGTCGCGTCTTCCCTCGTCCCTGCTTTGTCCAGAATGGTCCGGCGTAGTCAACAGCACATCTGTCGAAGGTTCGGAGAGACGGACGGACGGACGGACGGAGAGACGGACGGAGAGACGGACGGAGAGACGGACGGAGAGACGGACGGAGAGACGGACGGAGAGACGGACGGAGAGACGGACGGAGAGACGGACGGAGAGACGGACGCACCCGTGCATCTATCATCGGCGCCATTTACTGTGTTTCTGGCTTCTTCTGTAACCTCTGACACGTAACGCACCTGCGTGCGCAAGACTATAATCTCTCTCGCTGCAGGAATCCAAAACCTCGTTATCAGCTCAGCTAGGGTGTTCTCTACGCCAAGTCCGTGTTCAGCTTCTCCATGGACATGCTGGATAACCAGCCTGCTAATGACGTGCTTTTTCGGCAGAAACATCGGGTGTTTGACTTCAAAACTTAGCTCTGATCGCTGCAGTCGGCCGCCGACCCGGATGGTCCCATCTCCATCTAAGAATGGGCTGAGCTGTTTCACAGTACTCCGGCGGCATGCTCTCTGCGGTCGTGCGCCCGACATCTTCACTTGTCGAAGCTCCTCTATTTCATCTCGGAACGCATCCTTCTGCGCTTGTTGAACCCAGATCTTCTCAGCTTCTTTTAGTTCCCCTGGGTTCAGTTCTCTGTCCGGTGGAGAGGTGCTCGTTTGAGAGATCTTCCCGCGTAGAACTCTGATGAATCTCTGCACACAGGCTGTAACTCTCAACAGTCTTGTCCAGCTTGAGAAGTTTGCCGGGTTTAGCCGCCAGCTGGGACCCGACGGAGCTCGTACAGTAAACACATTATTCTACTGGTCCTTCTTGATCTCAGACTGGTTGAACTCTTCTGTGGCGAATTCTTTCTTCCGTGGCCATCCGCTTTCGTCTCTCAGCAGGAACTTGGTTCCATGCCACCACAGCTGACTCTCCGAAATATCCTTTAAAGTCAAGCCCCTGGTGGGTGCGTCCGCCGGCTTGTCTGACCCTGGCACGTGCTGCCACTGCTTGGGTGTTGTCAGCTCATGAATCCCTGATGCCCTGTGAGCGACAAACGGCTGAAAACGGCGGATTTCATTTCGAATCTAGCATAGCACGTCCATCGAGTCAGACCAAAATTGCACGTCTTCAATTTTCTTTCCCATTGCCGTGCACAGCGTCTTCACAAGTCTTAATCCCAGCAGTGCGCCCATCAGCTCCAGTCTTGGGATTGTCTGCTTCGTCGCTAGCGGCGCCACCCTCGCGCGTGCCAGCGCGAGCTGAGAGGATCGTTCGCTGCCACTTTCGGACACGACGTAGATGGCTGCGCCATATGCTTGTTCTGACGCGTCACAGAACACGCGAATCTCCTGAAGGGTGACTTCTGAGAAAGGATGAGTGCAGCGCGGCACCGAAAGACTGCTGGGCTGCTGCAGGTCGACAAACCACTCAGACCACTTCAGCTGCTGGTCGCCCGGCAGTATGTCATCCCAGTCTGCTCCGCTGATCCATGTCTGCTGAAACAGCATCTTTGGTCGAATGGTGAGTGGCACGAACAGGCCTAGTGGGTCGAAGACAGAAGCCATCTCCCTCAGACATGTCCTTTTGGTCAAGTTTTCAGACAGGATTTCTCGTTTTGACGTGTCTAGGGAGAGGCGGTCTTCATTTGTTGTCCAAACTACTCCAAGAGTCTTCGTCGGCACCGAGCCCTGATCTTCAAAGAAGTGGCGCGAGCTGATAG